GGGCACTATACCAACAACTGCTGGGCCTTAAAGAATAAAATTTAAGATCTGATTGACAACAAAGAGATTGATTTTGATCCTCCAGAGACTCCCAATGTGATTACCACTCTGATGCCGAAACACGACAAAAGTGTGAATGCTATTGATGTTGATTCTGCCGAAGAAGGTGATAATTATGACTTTGATAAGTGGATCTTTCCTACTACCAACAACGGACTCTATAACTGGAAGGCTAAAGATGTTGTCTCAATCTCCCTCAGATAGGAGTAAATGCCATTTTCTGTTTTCTTGCTTTGAAAGTTTTGGTTTTGTAATGTTTGAACAATGACTTTAAAACCTCGTGTCTTACCCGGGGTATAATGGTTCATTTGTTAAGGGTTGATTAATTCATAATCATTTGATCATTCAATAAAAGCATTGGACGTTTTTGCATACAATTTTTTTGATCCTTGTCTTTCTTTTTATCTTATTGCACTTTTCAAAATAGTTATGTGTTCTCACACACACCCATACACTACATTGCAGATCCTCATCCACTCTGGATCTCGTCGATATCAATTCTTCTATTGCCTCATATGACTTAAAAAATCCGATCTACCAAGCTGAAGATGAAGGTGGGGAAGATTGTGAAATACCTGGAGAACTTGCCAGACTCTTAATACAGGAAGAGAATGCTATCCAACCACATGAAGAGTCAATCGAAGTGGTGAACTTGGGTACTGAGACATATAGAAAAGAGGTCAAGATAGGTGCTGGCCAAGACAATAATGTCAAGATGGAAGACTCAATATGTTGAAATCTTCATCTGGTCGTACGAAGACATGCTAGGGCTTGACACCGATATTGTGGTTCACCGTCTGCCAATAAAAGAAGTTTGTGCTTCGATAAAACAGAAGGTTCATCGCATGCGTCTTGAAATGTTAGAAAGATCAAGGCTGAGGTTATGAAACAATTCAACGAAGGGTTCTTGGCAGTGACATCATATCCTCAATGCGTTGCTAATGTTGTTCCGGTACCAAAGAAAGACGGAAAAGTTTGTATGTGCATAGACTAAAAGGATCTAAACAGGGAGAGTCCTAAAGATGACTTCCCACTACTGCATATCGATGTTCTGGTCGATAATACCGCTCAACATAAGGTATTCTCATTCATGGATGGCTTCTCAGATTACAATCAGATCAAAATGGTGCCTGAAGACATGGAGAAAACCACCTCCGTCACACAGTGGGACACTTTTTGTTATAAGGTTATGCCTTTTGGGTTGAAGAACGCCGGGGAAACCTATCAGCGTGCTATGGTAGCCCTATTTCATGATATGATTCACCATGAGATATATGTCTACGTTGACGACATGATAGCCAGGTCACAAACTGAAGAAGAGCATCTTGATCACCTACACAAACTATTTGAAAGACTGAGGAAGTACAAGATAAGGCTAAACCCGAACAAGTGCACCTTTGGGGTGAGATCTGGTAAGCTTTTGGGCTTCGTCGTCAGTGGTAAGGGTATTGAGGTTGATCCTACAAAAGTTAAAGACATTCAAGAGATGCCAGCTCCTTGTACCGAGAAGGAAGTCAGAAGTTTCTTAGGACGGCTGAATTACATTGCCCGTTTCATTTTGCATTTGACTACTACTTGTGAACCAATCTTCAAGCTACTGAAGAAAGATCAAGTAGTAAAATGGAACGATGATTGTAAAACTTCCTTTGATAAAATTAAGGAGTACCTATAAGAACCTCCCATTTTGATGCCACCAGTCGAAAGAAGACCTCTAATAATGTACTTAATAGTGCTAGAGAATTCAATGGGGGTGTGTACTGGGGCAGCATGACGAGTTTGGTCGAAAAGAGCATGCAATATACTATCTTAACAAAAAGTTTATCGACTATGAAACAAAATATTCACTGCTCAAGAAAACTTGTTGTGCTTTGGCATGGGCTGCTCGCCGACTAAGACAGTATATGTTGACCCATATTACTTTGTTGATCTCTAAAATGGGTCCTATCAAGTACGTATTTGAAAAGCCAGCTCTCTCGGGAAGAATTTCCCGATGGCAGATGGTATTAACAAAATATGATATCGAGTACACCACATAAAATAAAATCAAAGGAAGTGTACTGGCCGACCATTTAGCACATCAAGCGGTAGATGACTACTAATCTATGAACTTTGAATTCCCAGACGAGAACATCATGCTGGTAACAGATTGTGAAGAACTCAGACCGTATGAAGAACCTGAACAAGGATCCCGGTGGACTATGGTTTTTGATGGAGTTTCCAATGCACTTGGCAATGGAATTGGTGTTGTGATCATTTCCCCTGAAGGTTGCTATAAACCTTTTACTGCCATACTTTGTTTCGACTGTACCAACAACATGGCCTAATATGAAGCTTGCATCATGGGTCTTAGGGCTGCTATTGACCTAAGAATCAAATTCTTAAGCGTGCACGGGGATTCAGCTTTGGTAATCAGTCAGGTTAAGGGAGATTGGGATACGAAGCACCCGAATCTCATTCCTTATAAAAAGCATGTACTAACCCTAATCCCATATTTCGAAGAGATTACCTTCGAGCACATACCAAGAGAAGAGAATCAGCTGGTGGATGCTCTGGCTACCATGTCATCCATGTTGAAGGTTAGACGAGACAATGAGGCTCCCAGAATTACTATTGAAAGATTCGATGAACCTGCGCACTGCTATGGAATTGATACTGATAGAGTAGATGAAAAACCTTGGTTTCACGAGGTGAAAAGGTGCCTTGAGGCTCAAGAATACCCTGAAGGGGCATACATCAATGACAAGAAGTTCCTATAAAGGTTCTTGGCTAAATTCTTCTTGAGCAATGGAATTTTGTACAAGCGTAATCATGATTCAACTCTGCTTCGTTGTGTGGACAAGAAAGAAACAGAAGAAATTATATAAGACATGCATGAGGGTGTCTTTGGTACTCTCTCTGGTGGACACACTATGGATAAAAAGATCTTAAGAGCTGGTTACTATTGGTCGACTATGGAAACTGATTATCACCACCACTCAAGAACTTGTCATAAGTGTCAAATATATGCTGATAAAGTTCATGTACCTCCAGTACCATTGAATGTCATGATTGCGCCTTGGCCATTCGCAATATGGGGCATTGATATGATTGGAGAAATCAAGCCCACAGTTTCTAACAGACATCACTTCATCCTTGTCTCCGTTGATTACTTTACAAAATGGGTTGAAGCAGCCTTGTTCGCCTCTGTCACCAAAAATGTGGTTGTGCGGTTCATCAAGCACAACCTGATCTGTCGGTATGGCATCCCCGAGAGAATTATCACAGACAACAGCGCCAATCTTAACAACACCATGATCACTGAGCTCTTCACGGAGATCAAGATCAAACATCATAACTCTTCTCCATATCGACCTAAGATGAATGGCACAATGAAAGTTACCAATAAGAATATAAAGATCATACAGAAGATGGTTGTGACATATAAAGATTGGCACAAGATATTACTGTCATACCCTATTTTTTACCTCTAATTTGTTCATTCATAACATCATATGCATTTGCATCATAAATCATTCATTCATCTCAACTCTTAAGGCATGGGGTCAAATGGCTCTTGGCATTAGGGTTTTCCCCTATAAATTGAGGTTGCTACCTCTCTCAAGTTGATTCCACTGTTTAATTTATCTATCTTGGTATGAAACCAGGGTTTTGGATCTACAAGCATCATAGATATTTTCCTTGGCAAGATTCCTCGAGATACAAGTTTTTTCTTCATCTTAATTTCTTAAAGAAACCAATGCATTAGGATTTGACTTGCATCCTCAAGACTTTGTCATGAATTCACTGTGAATGTCCTTGAGCTAGGTTTTGTTCCTCTCTCCGTCTCAAGCTTTCTTCACCAATGTGCACTCAGAGAAAGAGAATTAGGGTTCCTCCTATCTCGTTTGAGCATTGGTATTGGTTATTCAACGATGATTTATTTTGCCAGGTTTTCTCCTTAATGCTACGAGAATCATCATCCTTGTCTTATTACAAGTTTGTCATCATTTAAGGTTTCTCCTAACTGCTGGTGCGGCAAGACTTTCTTTCTCAAGAAGTTTAGAGGATGAAATAAAATTTCTCTTCTTGTGATATTTCTCAGATGGTTAAGGAGTTATTGAGGCTTTCACACAGTCAAGATGTTCTTTGTTGTTAAGCTATGGATCTTCATTTTAATAAACCTTTTTAGACACCATAGGATTACTTCTTGAATTTTTATTTAATTGAAGATTAAGGTTCATTAAATCACGCTTTTCATCTTGAGATTATCTGGATTATATTCCTCTCCATGTTTCAAGGCCTATCTAAGGACCACTCAAAGAATTATTTGCTCTTTTAAGTACTTTTTTTTTTGTATTGCAAGTTACCATGAATTGAAGATTTGAATTAGGGTCCTTGGAGATGATTTGAATATTCACTCAAGAAATATCATTGAAGTTCAAGTTGATTCAAGGTTTATTCCATACCAATTCATCATTATTCATCCATTTTACAAGATCGTCCAAATGAATCATTCAAGTTTTCAAAAAGATCCGAGGGAATTTGCAAAACTCATTTGAGCTTTTCATAGAGTTTTTGAAGTTTGGAAACAAAAGACAAGATTCATTCAAGTTTGCATTCAAAAGTTATAAGGTGGATTTATGTGGTTTTTCTCAGTATACATCATTATGTAAGGTTCGAGATTGCAAGCTTAAAACTCAAGAATTATTTTATCCCAAATTCAACATCTCAAAAAGTCCAATTATTCATGTTATTTAAATTCCCCTTATTCAAGATTCATTCAATAGTAGTTCAAGCTTCAAATTTCTTTACAATTCAAAGTTTCAAAAATACAAAAATATTCATCATTCCAAATTTAAGATCAAACATTCATCCAATTTTTACATATCCAAATTGCATTCTTCATTTAAGCTTCACAAGTCCAAATATAATGTCCATTTTGATTAGCCTAACTATCACTCTCATGCCAAAAGCCATCTTCTTTCTTTCAAACGGCCAATTCCTACATGAAGAAATAACACAAAATCAGCCATGCATTAAGTATTGTGACAGCAGAAAAAAAAAAAAATTATATATAAAGAAAATCACCGAAACCGAAACAGAAGAAAGTTGAGAGAAGTTTTAAGCCAGCTCATCAAAACAGAAGCAAAAGGAAAGGAAAAGCTGAACATGTTTTCTAGAATAACAAAAACTTTCAGAGCAAGCTTTATATCTGATTGAACAGCTCTACATATTGCAAGCTTCTCTAACAAGCTTCATAACAGAATTTGAGATGGGAAATGAGATTCAATCTCAACCATTCATTTGTTGTAACAGACTTTTGATCCAAGGGACGAAATCACTTTACCTGTAACAAACTTCTGGCCATTATAAAAACAGGAACTCTCTTGCAAGAAAGGAGGATTTTTCATTTTCTGCAGAAAAACTTCTCAGAGAAGTTTCAGAGTTCTCTTTGAAATTCTCTGAGGCTTCAACGAGGGATTATCCAGAAATCAGTGAAAAACTTCCAATTCTCTCTGAATTTCCTCTACTTCTTTTGCACCTTCCTTCATATCTTCATCATCAATCCTCTATTCTCTTGGCATCCTCCATACTGCAGGTTCACGAATTCTTCAATCTTCATCACGCACTGTAACCATAATAACACACATAGAGACAAAGCAAATTCTGAAGTGCAAATTCTGAAGCTGAAGTGAAAATTCTGAAGCACGGAGGCATAGAGACAGAGCAGAAGAAGAAGATAAGTAGATGAAGCATAACGAATCAAAAAATCATAGAAATCAAAGCACCTATTGAAGATGCACCGGACGATTCTCCGGTAGGTAAGCATTCTTCATTTCTTCTGCATTTTCTACGTTCTGTTTACTGCGAGGAAGTGAACGAAGAGCGTGAAACTGTGATTGAAGTGAGGTCCACGATTGGATACGAAGATGTCTCAGAGGAGGTGAATCAAAGGCTGCGTTCGAAGAAGATGAGATGTAGATCAAAGAAGGTAGGCGTCGAAGAATCGCGACGAAGCTTGAGGCACGACGTTGCAATCTGAAAGAGACGGAGTTAAAGACGCGGCGAATTGACCGAGCGAGATCGACGGAGATTAAAAATATTGAATCAACTTGAATCTATGAGAGATTGAGGCGAGATGATGAACAATGTAGCACGACGGAAGCGGTGAAGGGACGTCGTTGAAGAGCCGCGACATTTGAGATTGAGAGAGGAGGATATCATGTTTGCTGAAGAAGACTGAAGATTTCTTTTTCTTTGAACCCTAACATAACCTCTACGACATCGTTTCATTTAAAAAAATTTTTTTTTTCTTATTTTATTTCTTTTATTTGGGAAATTGAAAACAAAAATCTGATTAAAACTCTTGAGCTCACCCTAGACTGGGCCTCGTTTTTGAACCCTCCACTAAGCCCAGGCTGCACACTTTTTTTATCCCATTGCCTTGCAAACAAAAACTATTGGACTCACTCTGGACTGGACCTAAATACACCCTTCATTAATCCCATTAGCATGTTTTTTTGGAGCCTGAAAGTTTCATAGCAAAAAATGCTTCATGGACCTCCCTCCAGATGGGCCTAGCGCCTGAGATTCTATACCACACCCATGGGTTCTAATTCAAACCTCCCTCTATTTTCTTTTTTTTTAATATTTCCCTTCCATTTTTAATTGTTTTAGTTTTAATTTCTTTTATTGATTTTTAGGCATTAAAAATAAAAATAAAATAATAAAGAAGAGATATAAAAAATACTTTAGGTTATTTTTAGAAGTACTTTAGGATTTAATTAGATTTTATTTCTATTATTTCTTCTTGTTCTTAATTTCTTATCAAGTTTAAACGTCGTGTTTTATGTGTTTTCTTTGTGTGATATTGATCAAATAAGATACTTAAGTATTAAGGTTTATCTTGCGTTGAAATGTCACGCTCCTTTAGGATTTCATGAGACGATTAATCTCTCTTTTGATCGTTTTATGTTGATTAGACTTTAGGATGTTGATACAAGCACAATAACATCAGGATAGCTTTCCCTTTAACTCAACCTTTGGACCATTTGAGATATTCTCCAAACAAAACATTTTAAATCATTTTTTCCCTTTGTGCACTTTTCTCTTTAAAAATATTTTCCCAAAAGACTAGATTCTTGTCGGTTCTTATAGTGATGCAAGCTACTATACTTCTACGATATGTAGTGAAGTGAGATATTTTCCACTTGGGTGTTGAGTGAGGCTTTGTTGATTTTAAAATAAAAAGCTATATCCTCCATTTTGAGATGATGCAAATTCTCCATTCTCATAATCATGGGTATTAAGTATGTTTTTCCATTCAAATACGACAACATGTCTTTCATTAAAAAAACAATCAACAAATAAAACCTTTTTTCAGAAAGCACTACGAGTGTTCTGATTCCTTATGGGATACGTAGGCACTGGGTTGAAGATCCGGACGAATGCAGTAATAAAAAACTTTCTTTTCCCAATTAATTCATTTATGCATTTTTAGCAAGTAACTCCTTTTAATAGTCAAAATACACAAATTTTTCAAAGAGGTTCCAGAGGAAATACCGTAGATGTTTAGGGTGTTAATACCTTCCATTTGCAGAACCAACCCCCTTACCTAGATTCTCTCCCCTCCTTTATGGGTTATTCCCTCTTTTCCCATTCCTTTGGAAACAATAGAGCGCGGTGGAGATTTTTATTTTGATCTATGCGAGTAAAGTTAATCCAATGGCTTAGTCTCAATATTTCTACTACTATAATTACCATTTGCTTTGCACGGCTACCGCACCTCGGCTATAACATCAACTGGGGCAACCTCTTTCTCTCTGATTTATGGTATGGAAGTTGTCCCACCTGTCGAGGTCCAGATTCCCTCTCTAAGAATCATGAAAGATGCAGACTTGGACGAAGACGAGTAGATTCAGACCAGGTTGGAACAACTAAACTTAATTGACGAGAAAAGGCTTGCGGCTGTCTATCACAGTCAGATGTATCAGAAACGCATGATCAATGCATTCAACAAAAAGATCAAGCATCAGGTATATCAGGTTGGTGACTTGGTAATAAAGTGCATCATTCTACCTCAGGGTGATCCCAGGGGCAAATGGACTCCCAATTACGAAGGGCCTTTTGTAATCAAGAAAATATCCTCTGGCGGTGCTATGATATTGACCACCATGGACGGTGAGGATTGTTAGAATAAGATTGGTTTTGATCATATCTCAGAGTTTTGATGATAACAATAAAATATACTTTATATAATTGATACTCTGATGAGCATATTTATTTGTTTCAGATAATGTTCTGACTGAAGTATTTTCCTAGAAGAAAATCATTTTGACGTGCTGAGCTGAAAATAAATGAAGAAGTTCTTTGATGAAAGAACTATTTGTTTTAGCACAAGTTCTGATGCTGACTCTGATAAGAAACTATTTTATGCATCTTCTAAAGCTTAGCAAGTTTCCATGTAAACTATGTTCAGAAGTTTTCTACAAAGCAAGCGTTGATCAGAAGATTCTGCAAGCAAGCGCTGATAAGAAGATTTGCAAGCATATTCTGAAGCAAGTTGAGAAGCATATTCTGAAGCAAGATGTGAAGCTAGTTCTGATAGAATAAAGAAGCTAACAGGTCTTGTCAAGTTTCAGGAAACATGCTCTGAAAAGTGTTGTTTGCTCATTTAATGCAAAGACGACTACATGCACTCAAGTGTCTACGCTAGTTCATTGGAAAATGCAAAACTGCAAGCAAACACACAAACGTTAATTGCTCTCCACTTTTGAAGGCATCAACGGTCATTTTCTTCATGCTATAAATAGAAGATCATTTATTGCAAGCCAACTACTCAACAAATTCAAAAGACCCCAACAACGTGAAAATATTCTGTTGGTCACAAATCATTTTACAAACACTTTGTGCAAAACTAATCTTAGTGAAAAATCACAGTTTGTGATATAGCTTTCTAAGAAGCAATTTTTTTCATTATCTGTAAAGATTTAATTCTTGTAATTGTTCCTTGAGAGACCAAGTTTGGTCAGATTTCTCAAGAAGGCTAGGACTAGTTTGAGTCTTAGTGGTGTTAGTCACTTGTAAGTTTACTTGTGCATTGTATTGTTAGTCACAACAGTTGTTGTGGGATTGTAATCAGTTTGATTATAGTGAATTAAGTCCTTGTTGAGAAAGGAGAAATCACCTTGGCGGGTGGACTGGAGTAGTTTGAGTTCAAACGAACCAGGATAAAAATAAATGTGTCTTTCCATTATTGTTAAGCCTTTAAGAAAAAGAAAAGGAGAAACTTATTCACCCCCCCCCCCCCTACTAAGTGTTTTCTCACCTTCAATTGGTATCAGAGCTTGACTCTGAGTGCAACACTTAATCGTGTCAGGAAAAGATCCAGAAAGAAAACACAAATGACAACTGAATAAAACAACAATAGCTACAAAAAATCTCCTGTATTTGATGGAGAAGATTTTGAATATTGGAAAGATAGACTAGAAAGTTTCTTTCTAGGTCATGATAGTGATTTATGGGATATAGTCTTGGATGGTTACACACATCCTACAGACTCAGAAGGAAACAAGATTGACAGAAAGATTATGGATAGACAACAAAAAGCTGATTTCAAAAATCACCATAGAGCTAGAAATATCTTTCTAAATGCTATCTCTAAAATGGAATATGAGAAGATCACAAATAGATATACAACACATGATATGTTTGAGTCTCTCAAAATGACTCATGAAGGAAACGCTCAAGTGAAGGAATCTAAAGCTATGACTCTCATCCAGAAGTATGAAGCCTTCAAAGTAGAAGAAAGTGAATCTATAGAAGCTATGTTCTCAAGGTTCCAAACTCTGATAGCTGGCCTGAGAGTTCTGAACAAGGGATACACTAAAGTAGACCACGTTAAGAAGATCATCAGAAGTTTACCCAGAAGATGGGCACCTATGGTCACTGCTTTCAAAGTTTCAAAAGATCTGAACAACGTGTCTCTTGAAGAACTCATCAGCGCTCTAAAAAGTCATGTGATAGAACTTGATGAGCACGAGCCTCAGAAGAAAGGTAAGTCTGTTGCCCTTAAATCAATTAAAAAATATGAAACTAACGCTTTTCAGGCTGAAGAAAGAAACTCTGAAGAATCTGCGTCAGAAGAAGATGAACTATCCTTGCTCTCCAGAAGGATTAATCAGATGTGGAAGCACAGACAGAAGAAGTTCAGGAACTTCAAGAAGTCAGAAGATAAACCAGAATCTTCTGGACACAAAAAGTCAAACAGAAGAGAGATAACTTGTTATGAATGTAAAGAACCTGGACACTACAAGAGTGATTGCCCAAAACTTCAAAGAGAAAAACCAAAGAAAAAGTTTGGTAGAAAGAAAGGTATGATGGCAACATGTGACGATTCAGAATCCTCTGAAGATGAATCTGATTCTGAAGATGAGAACGCCAACCTAGCTCTGATGGCTACTACAGCAGATGACTCAGACTGTGAGTCAGAACAAAAAGAGGTATTCTTTGAATTTACTAGAGCTGAACTTGCTGAAAGTTTATCAGAACTTCTGGAAAACTATAGTCAACTCAAAATCAAATACAAGAAATTCAAGAAGAGTCTTGCATCTGATCTTGAGAAACATGAAACAGAAAACTCTGAACTCAAAGAAAATAATTTTAAACTTAAAGAGGAAATTCAAAAAATTTCTATTTCAGAGTTTGTGTCAAGTTCAAAAGATATTCTTAAAGAATATGAATGTAGCTTTCAAACTTTTCTTGCTAAAAGCATAGATAGAAACAAAATGGCCTCAATGATCTATGGAGTTAGTGGGAACAACAGAAGAGGAATTGGATATGAAACTCTCAAATGAAAGGAGACATATATACCAAAACCTGTTGCTAAGATGACTTTCACTTATAAACCTCTGAAAAAATAATTCAAGTTTGGACACACACATGATATTAAATATACATCACATTCTGGAAACTCTTATGCTAATCCAAAGTTCAAACATAACTTTAAATACTCTAACCCAAGAGGACCCAAAAAGATATGGGTACCTAAGGATAAAATAATATTTGTTGAAGATGTCCTTAACAACTCAATTAAGACACCAGTCATGGTACCTTGACTCTGGTTGCTCACGACACATGACGGGAAGAAAGTCTATGTTCCAAAACCTGGAATTTAAATCTGGAGGAGACATCAAGTTT